TAAAAAATCAATAATAGTTAATATATTTATATATTTGTTGGTATAATTCCTAATCATACAGTTAATTCAGTTAAAAAATCAATAATAGTTAATATATTTATATATTTGTTGGTATAATTCCTAATCATACAGTTAATTCAGTTAAAAAATCAAGAATAGTTAATATATTCATACATTTTTGTTGTATAATTCCTAATCATACAGTTAATTCAGTTAAGAAATCAAGAATAGTTAATATATTCATAGATTTTTTTTGTATAATTTCTAATCATACAGTTAATTCAGTTAAGAAATCAATAATAGTTAATATATTTATACATTTGTTGGTATAATTCCTAATCATACAGTTAATTCAGTTAAAAAATCAAGAATAGTTAATATATTCATACATTTTTTGCTATAATTCCTAATCATACAGTTAATTCAGTTAAAAAAGTCAAGAACTAGTTAATATATTCATACATTTTTTGGTATATTTCCTAATCATACAATAAAGAATACAAAAATTGATGTCTTTTTGTAAAAAAACGAGGATGGTCTGTTTCTCATTCGTGTGTAAATCAATCGCGTTTTTGTTTAGTTTGTTTATTGTTAAGCACAGAGCTACACAATGGGATATTTGTGTTTTGACCACCACAGATATCGAATCCCGATTTTTAGTGTTATAATCCTTAAGACTGGCCGCTGAGCCGCCAGAATAATTGTCTTGTTTCATCTTGAGTATCATATATTATTATTTTTTCGTCTTGTGAAACAAATTCATTTTCACGTACATAATAGAACATAATTTGGTCGCTAATCAAATGTGTTTCGACTGATTCTTTATTTCAACGTTTTGCATGTGAAATATAAATTAGAAGCACTGCAAAACTGAAATTAGGCCTAACTTAGAAAGAGAATCTAACGTGCGTTTACAAATCAGCTTACGTGGCGAGAGAGGCGACGTGATGTTGTTGGTTGTAAACACAGAAAGTATTCTACGTGATGTTGTTGGTTGTAAACACAGAAAGTATTCTACGTGATGTTGTTGGTTGTAACCAAAGAACGTATTCTACGTGATGTTGTTGGTTGTAAACACAGAAAGTATTCTACGTTTAAGAATAAACACATATATGTAATCAATTTCATTTCATGACATTTGTGCCTTCTAATATAATACTTTCTTAATAGCATCTTCTCATATGAAATATAATTTTTGACGGCACTGTTTTTGTTAGAAGCGTATAGCCGGTACCTCTCTGTTCCTCGTGTCGTTCGCGTGCCAGATGGCCAGATCTAGAGACACGCTATGGGTAAAACCGTTTCTATCTGGTTTA